TTAAGCCCAGGGTGTTGTAGAGGCAGGATCAGACCCGCAGTGATTGCTAGTAGCGGCTTTTTTAAGCCCAGGGTTTTGTAGAGGCCGAGGACCAGACCCGCGGTGATTGCTAGTAGCGGCAGCCAATGGTTGTCCTGACAGGATAGGCCACCTACCCTACCCATCCCCACGTTAATACTCCCAGTGCAACCCCTGTCTCTACTATCCTACCTCAGTGTGACCAGCGCTCAGGACCATCACCCTACCAGTATCGAGGGCAACTTGGACCAGACAGCAGTGACAAGCACCAAGGCTGGGCCAACCTCCCAGCCCTGATGGAAGCGGAAGCGGATGGACCTTGTTGTACGGGAGACCTCTAAAGAAAAAAGAAAAAAGACGTTGCAATCTGAAGTTGGTGACGTGGCTGTCCCGTGACGCGCGGGCAGGGGTAGCGCCAGCCGTGACGTTGAAGCGGAAACACAAGAGGGGCGCAGCTATCTGGGCTACAGATGGAGTTGGGGGGGGAGCTACAACGAGGAGCAGACGACTGGCTGATGACCTTGGAAGAAGGATGCAGGAGGTTACAAGTGATGGTGGGCGAGCTGTTTTTGCGATCGAACGAGGAGGCATAGGACGTAGGGGGGCCGATCTCTCTGGCTGGCTGGGTGAAGAATATGGCCGACGACATCCTGAACATCATCTGGGAGCTGGAGGAGTGGCCGGATCCCCAGCTAGAATCCTGCATCGATTGGACGAGGGCACATGGCATGATGTCTACCAGTTATGCCCTCTTCGCTGAGGGCCGTAACCTGCGCTATAAGCTGGAGGAGCGGTTGATGGGCGATGACGACAAGGAGGATGAGAACTGGCAGGAGAATGGAGCGCAGGAAGACAAGGTTAACTCCGGCGTCAACACCGACAACAACAACAACAACGACTACAACAACAACAGCGACAGCGACAACGACAACAACAACGGGCTTAGCGATAATAACAATGACAACAACAACATCAACAACAACAACGACTTCAACAACAACAACAACAAAGACAGCAACAACGGTCACAGCGACAACGATGTCAGCATCAACAACAACAACAACAACGTCAACAATTACATCAACAACGACGAAGACTACAACAGCAGCGATGACCACGGCAGCAGCGATGCGGTGGGAATTGGGGCAGATAACAACAACAACGCCGATGGGGATAATAACAACAACAACTGCGATGACGGCGGCAGCGGTGACGGCGGTGGCAGCGATGATGGCGATAGAGATGTGGGGATTGGGGATGATAACAGGGATGGGGATGACAACAACAACAACAGAGATGGGGATGACAACAACAACAACAGAGATGGGGATGACAACAACAACAACTACGAGGATGGCGGCAACGACGACAGCGGTGGAAGAGGCGACGACGGCAGCAGCAACGACCACGGGAGCAGCATGGAAGACAGCATTAGCACGACGGGAAAGAAGGCCCATGCTGACGAGGTGGGGAGTGTAGTAGACACGGATAAGAGGGTTATATGCGGAGTGATGTGCCTGGCGAGATGGGGCTTGGGGTTGAAGGATCAATCAACCGTTTCCCCCCCCTTCTATCTGCTGTTTCTACATGGTGACTTGTTCTTCTCTGTCGGCCATCGGGTGGGAGTAGGATAGATGCCCACCTCCCCTTTTTTTATTAGAGCTGACCGGCCCTCAAACTCTAATCATGAAGGGGTGCCGATCGCCCTCAAGGGGATGTAGGGTGCTTACGGTCTGGAGTTTTGCTTTGTTTCCCTTCCTGGGGTGATCGATGCCGATGGTTTTATAGATGGATAATACTTCATGGGCACGAGGTCCATCCTTCCTTGTCGCAGGGAAGTAATCAATCCTCTGCTCATCCTGGAAATATTCGGACAGATTATATCATTGATAAAGCTCAATCGCATCATATCACACATATTTCATCACTGGTAGAGATTTGTGCTTAGTCTTGATGGATAAAGATCATACATATCACATCATATCATTAGTAGGGTTTTGTGTTTAGATTTTGATAGATATAGAACACATGTATAACATACACATCACACATACATTACATACACCACATGTATCACAACTTTGTTAGGGTTTCGTGGATCTGCATAGGGTGCTGGGCCCGATTTCCAGCAGATACATTCACATCACCATACAGGGATGCTGGACCCGATTTCCAGCAGATACATTCTCATAATTGTACAGGGACGTTGGACCTGATTTCCAACAGGTGTAGCTCCCCACCAATAGATGGAGCCTTCGACGCCGGGGCCTACGTACCGGGGATGCTCTTATCACCTCGTTAAGTAGGTTTCCCGTATAACGAAGTTTCTTTAAAAAAAAAAAAAAAAAAACAAGTATTATGAACAACTTTTTTTTGTTCTTTTTCTAATAACCCGGGACCCGGGCCCCTCACATAATTGGCCGCGGCCTCAGGGAATCAGTGAGGCTCTTCGGCCAGGCTTAACCCCAACCACAGCAGAGGACCCAACGAGTGTCTTCTCCAAAACAGAAAAAGGAAAAGGCTATCAGCAGAAACCAGAAAAAACAATTAATCAATCCTATCTACAGTGATCCTAACCTAATGCAGGGGGGCCGAAGGCAACATACAACAGCGGCACAGAATACCCAAGAGTGAATCACAGAACCATATCCACTCAAACCCTAATTAAGTTGTCAGAATTAGCGTCTAGGTAAACCTTTTTTTTTTTTTTTTTTTTTTTTGGGGAAMAAAGCTCCAATCTACTTGTGGGGAGCAACACGTGCTGGGAACCGGGCCCAGCGTCCCATATGGAAATTTACACAGAATTGAAAAATTTTGAAGTTTTAGGATACCGTGGCCGTTACCCGGCTATGGCTAAGAAAAAATAGAACTACTAAGGAAGATTGCGACATCAAACTACAAGCCATCAACCCTCTTTACCTCCCTCCGACAAGACTTACTGCAGCAGAGCCACCATCTCCGCTGCTGCTGTACCCTAATTCCATCCTACTAGCTAGCCCTCCTCACTAATAGGACGCTTGACATCCCACCATCTACTTATCCCRCTMWCCTCARTTTTGARAAATTTSRRRARAWTTKRRRAAARWWTWRRRAARAATGRARAWMMGA